TCAAGTCGAAAAACACCGTTTCACTGTCATGTCGTCTCTTCAAAGCCACCAAGATGATGGCCTCTGGGGAAGTTTGAACCATTCGGTCGAGCGTGGAGACCAGCGCTGGCAAGCTGTCTGCATTGTATGTACAATCAGAGACAAGAATGAGCTCAATGGGCTGGGGGCAGAGCTTATCCGGTGGGTCATCCCAGTCAAGGTTTTGATAGTGAAGACTGGACATGGTTGCAAGTTGGGCGGCATTAATATTGCGTGTTACTATGTCCTCAACCTCGGGGAGGTCCGTGAGTATGACCGAACAGTTGGGAAGCATTGTTGCCAATGCAATTCCTACTATCCCACATCCAGCCCCTAGCTCAACTACCTGAAGTGGCTGATTGCGGTTGGTAGATAGGAGCCGTTTCAACGCTGATATTTTGGGTTCAGCACCTTTCTTGCTACCATAACGGGCCGTCTGCTTTATATTATCACAGATCGTGTGAAGATATGTAACAGTCGAGAGACCCGCATCCCTGGGAACATCCCTGTTTAGAATTTCAAGGGGGAAAAATGGAAGATAAGTAAAAGGGCGACTTACCATATGTGTCGAGCAATGCTATTTCCTGTCTCTTCCCATATCTGTATGGGAGATTCGCTGGCGCTGTATTGAATCTGCCGTCGAACCAGTTTCTCCGCTGGCGTGGACCGTGGCCCAAATGGAGCACTTGCTGCACCAACCACTAATGGTATGGGGGGACACTGGGGTATAGAGTATCCTGGTGGGTTCGGCACTTGAACCGTCAACACCATAGACTGCTGAGCCAGATTGGATGAGAGAGGACCCAGGGTAATAGCAAGTTCGCGATTACTGGCGTTCCATATTGTTCTTTTCTCAAATAAAACCCGAGAGGAATTGTCGCGGGCTATCATCATCAAATCAACATCTTCGGCGAAAAAAGAGTCTCCCAGATCAGTGGTGATGCAGATCAGAGCGGAGAGGTAAGGGGACCCTTTCTGCTGCTGGATCCTGGGAGTTTTCAGGAATCGAACATAGTACACCATCTTGCAGATATAGAACGCAATGCTTTCTCCAAGTTCCCCTCAATGCCTCTCCCTCTTAAACGCATCTTCATCAACCTAAATTTCCCCCAGGAAATTACCCGCGCTGACTAAGCAAGGAATGACATCGCGAGGTCGGATTCGTCTCAACTACACTTGCCTCTGCTCAACCCCTGTAACTTTTCCAATGTCGCCGGCGACGGTTGGTGGAGTGAATCACACGAGATCCATAATTAGCAGTGTCTAGTGTCGACGCCGTTGCCTAAGATGATGCGACCGCGCGACCCCCGCATCCGACAACGGATTAATCAGATCTCCCATAACATCGAGACTGCCAACGAAACCGCGCAAGAAGGGATTTATACTTTCTCCCACAACTACATATCCCCGTGTATTGAATCCATTGGAAACTGCGTGACTGCATGTACAGCACCTTGCCTCCCGACCCGAGAAGACCACCTAAGGCGGCGACGAAGGGGCCAAACCGAAGCCAACTTTGATTTCTACGACGACTGGGCCAACGAAGAAGAAGATGACGGTCTAATTGGGTGGAGCACAGGCGAACTCGACCGTCTGCTTGCTGGCAGCGGGCTGGCGCGCGGAGCTGCTGACCAGCCGCATCGGCCCCGGAGAATGAGCTATGGGACACGCAACACCAGGCGAAGGAGCACCGTGCACATTCCGGACAATCGCGACGACCCGACTGTGATTCCCAGCTCCTCCCTCCTTGGCTTCCTCGAGCGCCTTCCGTGGAGATTCGGTGCAAGGGGAGTGAAGTATCGGCCTTCAGCTGCTGATCTCCAAGAACACCCCGGCGCCCGGCGCTACGCGCACGAAGATGAGCCGCTAATGGAAGCTGTGGGTGGTGATGAAGAGCAATTTTCCCCCACCCCTATTAGGAGGAATCGCAGTGCCACTCAATCTTCCCGTGGAACGGACAACTCACTTAGCTCCCGCGGAGATCTATTCCCTAGTGATGAGGAGGAGGATGCAGTTCCCCTTGATGATGAGTTTGCGCTTGCTTTTGGGCGCCGTGGAACGGGCTTGGAATCTGATGATCAGTCCGGGGCGAAGTCTGAACTTATACAGTCTGCATCCGCGTCCAGCCTCGGTGCGGCGTCCTCGAAAAAGACCAAGCGGAAGAAGAAACGGTCCCCAAAGCGATCGGCTAGTGCCCAAAGTGTCGACACGCCATCATTGGCAGACTTGAAGACAGAAGAGCAGCGAGCGGCATTGGAAGAAGAAGCGGATGTTGAGAGGCGACGGCTTGCTGCACACGAACTGGCTCTAAGTCGAGGTCTTAATACGGGAGGCGGTGATAAGGTATGACATTATGCGCCTTCTGCCTCAGCGAAGAAAAAACTAACCATATTCCTTGTCTAGCCCGCCGCAACACCCACTAATCCAAGTCTCCGATCACAAGAACAATTTAATACCCCGAGAAGGACTTTCAGCGAGTCATCAAGCCGCCGGATGTCCGACAACCAAACCGAGCCCTTCCCGCCTGTATCTATGTCGCCTTCATCTATGGCCATGGATTCTCCGGGCTTATCCAAAACCTCTCCAAGAGCTATGTCTCCTCATGAGCTTGATGATAAGACGACTTCACTCGATTGATCAAATTAATGGTTCTCTGCATGCATTGCTGCAATTTGCTTTGAGTGGTTATTGAGGACCTCTACCATTGAACGCCTATTTTGTATGATATTAGCGACTTTGTTACACTATACCCCCATGAATTCGAGAGTCTCAAGAGTACCAGAACTTCTTGAGCATTTTTCAAATTGAAAACATAATAAAACTATGATAAACCCTAATAGATTTCGAGAATTTTTCGCCCTTTGAGCGGATGACTCGATGAATTTCACATGGATATCACTCTCCATCGAACCTTGCTCTATGGGCATCGCGCTCGTTTTCTGCTACTCATTCCCAAAGACCCATCAACACAGCATCACCATGCTGTTCGTACCGCCCCATTTTTAGAATCTAAAGTCTCTGACTTTTTGCATCGAACTGCGTGTGAGTCTCCCTTATTACATTCTTCGGCTCCTCGTTCCCCTGTCGACCAGACTCAGCTTTGATGCCTCTCGTTTCGCAAACCCCACTACCAGTGTGATTCCTGCTGATTTTCCTGAGCATGTTCCAAATCTGCTCATCGTGACGCTCCAAATCCCAAGGCGGAACAAATCGCTCGATGCTCCGAGAGGGATTGTCGTACTGGAAGATCTTCAACTTGGCACCAATTGCAAGGATGCCATAGATAGGCGATGCATCTTCTGCGAAGTTGCGATACCGAAATGCAAGATAGAGCTGTAGCTCTCTCTGTCCAATTTCCCACTGGTCGTCATTCTCCCTATCAGCGCGCTGATAGTACACCACAAGAACTGGATTCTGGTGGCCATCTTTCAAATGGGAAAGTTGAAGCTCGACCCAGCCTGGACATCCACATACGGCGCCGTGCACGTATAGGCGGATGAAGAAGCCTTGTGCAGATGGGAATCGCAGATTCAGGATCGCATTCCAGGTGGCGATTCCATCGGCTTCGACGTTGTCGTTGTGGAGGGTTCTAACCAGCCATTTGATGGCGGGAACGCAAGTGTACTAGGATATAGGAACTGTGTTAGATGTGTAGGGAGTGAAGGCAGGTAATCATGGCTCACTGACATTATTGGACATGGCTCTGAATATCAAGATTTATCTCTGGTGCACTAGATATATGTAGTATTGTGTTTGAAGGTCAAACAGGAGATGTCCATAGATAGCTGGGTAGGATGAGGTTCTTTAACACCATTTTGCTTTTTTTCTCTGTATATTTTACACCATTGTTCCAACCGGCTCTGTCCATTAAAATACATTTAGTATTATGGTGTCAACCATCCATGGCTATGTAAACAGGGAGGAAAATGTGCGGTGACAATTGAGTAAAATAGAACATACAATGAACCCAACTTCAACACACTTGCTTGTATTAAGGGTCCAATTAAAAATGAGGTCAAGAGTACCCCCTGTATCATTATATCATTATTGCCAGGAGAGATGTCTAAAATGGAGACATCTAGCTTTAGGGTAAAGGAGATTGTTGTAGGAGCTAAGTTCGAGAGTGAACTATAAATTATAACACAATCTTTGTGAAAGACATCAAAATTATAACTCTTGTCTCCTAGCTTTCCTCTTAGCTTTCCTCTTAGCGTTCCCGCGAATAATGAGCTCGTCGAGATAGAATATGGTATTCTACACATCCATCCAGTTGAAGTGGTGGATGCCTTAGTTGCAGCCTTCCTCCCGGACCAGTATAAATTTGTGATATCGGAAGTCTGACCACTTTCACACTGGAGCCCGCCAAATATGTACCAAGTTTTTTTTGGTAAATTACTTTTGGGACACTATCTCGGACTTGAAACTTGAGGTATTTTGCAAATATTGTTGGATGAGAGAAGAGAGGTTAAGCCCTACCTTTCGGTCCATACTGTATAAATTATCCGATTCTCCGCTAATCAGACAGAAATCATTTCCTGTACCTAATTTTTGATCTAGTGATGAAATATACCGCATTTTCCCTCTCACAAATGAATGAGGAGTAGTTGTGCTTATATGTTGCATTATCGGCCAACTCAAAAAGGACTCATAGCTGTTTATCGAGGCAGGAAAATTGCGAATCATGTACAAGTCATCGGTGATGTTTGGATCGACCGACCGGCCTCATGGGATGAGGACGTCCTTGCTTCAATTTCAACTAAGATGAGGTTCGCCTTCGATTAGGAGGTTCACCAAAATATGGACAAGAGCCGGGGGGAATTGCGGGACATCCACACGCCCCACGCGGGGCATCCTCAGCACGGAACACGAATGCCTTTCTAATCTGCTAAGATGCGAGACTGAAGTACATAACCAACCTCTATGATATCTAACTCCTACAGGGTTGTCTAATTGCATACCGTCAACCATCCCTCATCTTCAACATGGCCAAGGCCGAGTCCGATCTCAGATCCATCCTTGATGGCGGCTTTGATCCTCAGAAGTTCCCCTGGTACGAACCTGAGTTGATCGAGGCCCCTGAGCCTGCAAAGACTCTGCTCGAGAAGTACAGCAAAATCCCGCCTGATCAGGTGGTGGACCATGTGAAGAAAGTGGTGAGTCTTTCCATCCATGGTGGGAGTGTCTATGCTAATAACTATGGAATGACCCAGAGAGATCGAGCATTTGCTGTGGTAAGTAGATCTCATTTTGCAAACAATCCGTCCAAGAAGCGCTGTGGCTTCGGATTCTCGCGCATTTGATGCGCATCAGACCCAATTAGCAGCTCCCGAGTCGTCATATTCCTGGCAGACTAATATTGACCAGAGATGGATGCTAATGAACACCCTCAGTTCCCGTACCCTTGCATTGGATCATTCCGATTCCTGGACTTGAGCATCCCACAATCACCACTATACCCCGAGATCCTTGACAGACTGAAGTCTGGCCAGAAACTGCTCGATGTTGGATGTGCGGTGGGGCAAGAGTTGCGTCAACTGGTAAGACAGTCCATCCAGAGTCCAAAGCAATGAACGCAAGTTTATCGTAACCAGGCCTTCGATGGGGTCCCCTCTGAGAACCTCTATGCCTCAGACCTGCGCCAAGACTTCTACGACATTGGGTACGACCTTTTCAACGACCATGATCACCTCAAAGCCCAGTTCATAGTAGCAGACATATTCGACGACAACTCCGATCTAGTGAAGAACCTGACCCACAAAATTGATATTGTTAATGCGGCTTCTTTCTTCCACCTTTTCAACTGGAACCAGCAGATTCTTGTTGCGAAGCGGCTCGTCGGGTTACTCCAGGATAAGCCTGGCTCTCTTCTAATCGGGCGACAGATTGGTCTAGTGAACCCTCCTCCTCCGGAAGACGAGGAGGCCGCTGGGAAGCACTATCGTCATGATCCTGCTACGTGGAAGAGATTCTGGGAGCAGGTGGGTGCTGAAACGGGGACGAAATGGGAGGTTGAGACCAGGATGGAGAAGTGGGCTGGGGCAGATAAGATGATGAAAGACTACCATGAGGGGATGGACACTTTCAAACTGAGGTTTAGTGTTCGGAGGCTGTGAGGTAGTTTCTTTGATTTACTGTGATTGAAGTGTAAATAGCATGTTCGTAGATTACATCAAGCAGTGGTTCTTTGTGCACCACTAAATCGTCTTCCGGGTTGATGAGATAATACACCCGGGATTTGCTTGAACACCCACACTAGCCTATGCGCAGCCCTATTGTGTATTCGACTCAAAGTGTTGAGATGTAGTTGTTAGAATGCCAGAGTCGTACTGGAAAGGTGGGAGGCCGGACTGTAACTGATGCACCGCAGACGGCTTTTGAGTCTGTGGCAGCTGCGTCGATTCATCGAATAACCATGGCGGGTTTGCAAGAGACATTATCTCCTGGTCAAATATAGTCCAGGAGTCATCTGCGCTTGGGCCTGGGAACGCCAATGCCACGCTTGTGTCTGGGGGAGTATGCATGGCTTGCATACTAGACTCGAGCCTGTGAAATAGAACAGTATGAATGCTTGCAGCGGACTGATTTCTTCGTTCTAAGCTTTGGAGGTGTGCTTGGATGAGGTGTAGATCTGGAATAGAGAATTAGAATAAGGTTGATGGTCCTGCTTTCCGGGAGTTAATAGGCCATACCATCTTGGTGGGTCATGCCGTCTTCAACACCCTGAAGGAGTAATACGGCCGCCCATGTGATCATCTAATTTGTTAAAAAGAGAATTACTGGCTCTGGGGCTGAACTTACAACCAAGTCCCAATTGGACCATATGCTCGCATCATCTTGTCTCAACCTCAATACCGCCCGAGCCGAAACGAGTAACTCGTGTCGCTCAAAAGAACTAATGTTCGCAGGGCTGAGATCAAATCCACGAGCAGGATGGTAGATCGAAAGCACATATAATTTGTGCAGGTGATACTGGAGCAAAATGAGAATACCTTGTCGATCAGACGGAGTGGGCTCTAACAACAGTTAGCTCTGGGAATTGGATCATCGTTCGGAGATACTCACGGGATAAGCCATTATATCGTACCAGCCAGTCATCGAGTTTTCGTGCCCAATGCCGGATGACCTGCAAGTCATTTTCAGTAAAAGGGGACCGAGCTGTAGGCACCATGTCGGAATCATCTGTATTGATCGAGGACCATATGCTCGGCAGCCCACGACCGACAAAATGACTAAGTCCAAAGTGCATCATTTCGGCAAGACCCTGAAAGGCATTTCCTTGGTGGCCATCCAACCGCTGTATGTTTGGAGTCGCAGCATGTCGTGGGAGGAGTGGATACGACATATGCATTGAGGCGTGTTCGATATCAATGACCTGAAGCAAATAAATGTAAACAAATTATCCAAATTTCGGGGTTTGTTAAGTGTTCGTACCTGAAGACCGGAGAACAAGCCACGCCAGTCTTGCGCAGTGGAAGTCATATCTACTGGACAATGATCAAGCCAGAGACGATATGCCATTGCAATCCACGAGCCTGTAGCACCAACATACGCCTCGCAGCTCAGACTAGCCATGATCAGCCCAAGGATGTCATGAAATGCTTTCTCTCTTTTGGATTGTGATAACAGACTTTGCTCGTCGTTCTTCTGCTCTAATGCCGGCAGGGAACTTGGGTGCAGACACGGAGTCACAAGCTCAGCGATAGCACTATAAATAGCAGCAAGATATCCCGAATCAAACGATGCTAGTCCAGAAGACTGATGGTGCAGAGCAGATATATAAAGCACAGAAGCGAGCAGGATAGGGGTCGGAGAAGCGAATGCGCCGTGGTCAGTTAGGAAGTGAAGAAGTGGGAGATCTTTCAAGAAGCTGTGATCTTGTCAGATATCGAACTTCACATGGTCATTTCCACAGTACATACGAGCTCCAAAGCTGCTGAACAACGGATCGCGACCAGACACTATCATCTGGTGCTGGACGGGTAATGACTCGTAAATGCGCAAGCGCTATCCATACACCATGTAGTGTTACAACGTCCATGCCTTCCTCGAGACTTACCTCACGAGACAAACTAGTTTCGTCTTCGGGGTCCTGGGGTTCCTGGGGGTCATCTGTGATACCCAGTGCAGCCTCGATCCTGGCCAGCCGGTTCAGAATTGACTGGTGATCCGGGATCACTGATAGAGAAGCAAAAGCTTGGTCTTGCTGCATCTCCATTAGTTCATACATCGCAGATGCCTGGATAAAATGTCAGCTCGGTCTCCGGGTGATCATCTCCACTATGATTTTTTACTCACATTGGCCCGAGGCTTGAAGACACAGGCTGTTCGAGTGTGACGGCAACGGCGACACGGAGGAGGTCCGGATACTTCGCATTTCATCTGAGTGATGTAAGTTATCTCCTGGTTACTAGAATATTAGAAAGCAGCCGTGTTTATACCTTCAGTCGTCGGCAATTTACTAGGACTGGTTAGCTTCTCTCCACAATAGGCCGTTTTGGGACTCACCACAGGCCTTGGTCGGCTTAGGGCCGACCATGGCGCCCGATCTCTTCATAACTACTCAGAGTAACTTTCCATGACTTCCATGACTTTTGGTGGTTATTTAATCAAAACAATTGTAGAGGGTAAGCAGAACGGAGTCGGAAGTTATCAGGGGGGGAATTATCGTTTCTCCGCTTTTCGCAGAGTGGCGCTCCATTTGGAATTATTCCCTGTAAACTCAATTAGGTGAAAGGCTTATGATTCTCTATATTTCTACGCTGATTTCTATAAAATATTCATGTTCCCTCGTTTTTAGTCCGTCCTGTGTAGACTTATAGGTCCAGGACGGGTCTGAAAAACGGAGAAGAGAAGTGTACCTGGTGGTTCACATTCCCTTTATTCTTGCGCGAGCATCCTGATGGAAATGAATGCGACATCTGTCAACCAAAGGTAGTGACTGGTTGAAGATGTGATTAGCTCGGTGCCGAAGCACGTGAATATCTTCAGCGCAGTTTGGGGCCAAGGCAGAGGAAGAGACTTTGAAAACACAGATGTATACAAAATGTATACAGATGGGATATGCACGGATATATGTACAAGGTGGGATGTGATAGGATGTCATGCAGGGAGGTGGGAGTAGATAGAAATACATGGGAAGGTGAAGTGGTGATACATTTCCCCAAATAAGGATACATACCCAATTCAGGGGAAGGTGTGCGAAAAGAAAGAGAGAAAGCGACTGCCGGGCAATCATTGGTTGATATCGCTTAGACGGCGGCATCCATGGAAAGCTTGCGCAGCTCCCATTCCGAATCGGCCCAGTCCTTCTTCTCGCCGAGAACGCAAGTCGTTTGCCGCGAGCCATTCACCAGGAACTTTTCAGCGGCCGCGTTGACATCCTTGGCCGTAACATCCAAGACCTGTTCTCTCCAGCGTTGGTCCATTTCATGGGTAACGCCGCTCATGAAGTAGCGTGCGCCTTCGTCGTCGACGCTCACAGGGGCATCAAGACCTTGGAAAATGCCAAGCTTAGCTTCTTCAATCTCACGCTCAGACCAAGCACGATCTCTAGCAAAGATACCACTGTTTTTGAAGACCTTGAGCGAGTTTAGAGGGTTCGGGTCCCGGTAACTCATAAAGGTGAAGATACCCTTGATGGGCCCATTGCTAGCACCCGCTCCGTAGGCACCTCCCTTCTCCCGGATTTCGGGGTGAAGGTAGTTGTGGGTGAGTAGCTGAGACAAGATACTGAGCGGAGCGCTGGATGGATCAACGAATGGCACAGTCTGAGTGGCCTGGCCAGAGTAATAGACCTTGTATGGCATATCATAGAAGGCCTTGTCGGCTGACTTGAAAGAAGAGGTTGTGAGATTGGCGCTTGGGGACTGTGTTTTAGGCAGTCCGGAGATCCACTTTTGCAAAATCGATTCGTTGTTACCAGCACTTTCTTTTTCACACACCACGCGGACGCGAAGGTTGGACGAAGAGATAGCGAAGGATTGAATTAGGCGAAGCTTCTCGATCAGCTCTTGGAGACGTTCGGGAGAGGACTCCGCGTCCCGGAGCAAGTTAGCCGTAGCTTGCAGTTGCTCAAGACCAGACTGCTGCTCTTGGACCCAGAAGCTCCGGGAAAGACTGGCAGCCGCAGCATTGACAGCGAATCGGTGACCAGTTCCCGCAATAGCATCTAAAGCTCCATTAGTGGTCGTCCGGAGAAGTTCTTGAATCATTGCAGGCGCAGTAGGGCTTGTGAAGTCCGTCTCTGTAACCAAAACCGAGAGCATTTCCAGCATCTCGGGGATGTTCTTGTCGATAGCGAATCCAGAGAACTGCATGCCCTCCTTGAACTGATCCAAGTGCGTTGGGGACGACACAAGGAACGATGAGGTCGAAATTCCTCCAGTCTTCAATTTAATCAGATCTTCCCACTGTTCCATCGTCCGATTGGCAGTTCCCAAACGCATAACACAGTCGTTGAACAAGGGCATGAGCAACCGAAGTTCATCTGGTAAATCAACAAAGTCATTCAGGGCCTGGAAGTAGGTCAATCCATTGGTGGGGGCTTCACGCCAGACGACATCAGCACCCTCAACTTTAGACTCTCGGACAGGCTTGCGCTCCTTCTCTCGCGAGATGTCCTTGACTCTCAACGTCGGGAGGCAGCTCAGGTCAGCGTTATGGGCGTCCTCTTGGATCTTGAGAAGTTCCAATTCCTCCTCTCCAAGCTTGGTGACAGCCTTCTCAACTGATCCGTGCTCTTCGATAAGCTGAGCAAGTTTCTTGTCCTTTCGCACCATCTCCTTCTCGTCCAACTCTTTATTGAAAGTGGGAGTACCGACCATAGTAAAGGTCATGCATTGGTCGTTGATAAGATATTTCTCCACCAAAGACTCGAGATAGCCAGGTGTCGCATATCTGCTCTTGAACTCGTCGATGACATCATTCCAAGCCAGCTCTTTCATGGGGTTTGAGCCGTTGAGCCAAGTCGAAATGGTCTTCTCCATTACGCCAATTCCGAAGTTTGCAGTCTTGTGGCGCAGCGAAAGCTCCAGCTGGTGAAGGAATCCACGAACCTTCTCCTCACTAAAGCCAGCAGAAACAGATTCCCGGAAGACCTTTTGAATCACATTTTTGATATTTGGGGATTCCGCTTCAGTCACCCCGTTCAGTCCAACCGAGAAGATGGGAGTTCGGCCAGATGGGTCAAGGCCAGTGTTTGGTGTAAAAGAAGAGCCAAGACCACTCTCAACAAGGGCTCGGTACATGGGTGAACCATAGCCATCGAGAAGAAGGGAAGAAACTATTCCTACAGAGAACGTTTCCACAATATCGGTTGTGTCACCCATGTACCAGGAGGTAGATGTCTTGTGCTGCTTGTCTTCACTGGCAAATGTATCGACGGGTCCAGGAACAGTCACGTTAATCGGTCCCTTGGTAAGATCCAGAGGTAGCTTGATATCAGTATCCGCTTGTCCTTTCTGGAAACCATCTAGGACTGCACCGATCTGCTGCAAGTGATCCGCCAGAGGCATATCACCATATGTAAGGATCTTAGAGTTGCTGGGGTGGTAATTGCGCTTCGAAAACTCCGACAGCTGCTTATGAGTGAGATCTGTGATGTACTCCGGGTCTCCGCCCGAGTTATTCAGCGCAGGGAAAATGCTCTCTTTGAAACGGATATAGTAGAGATAGTTTGCATCAGAGATCTGTCCCTTCATCTCGTTGTAGACAACACCCTTGAACACGATGTCCTCCAATGACAGCTGTTTCTTAGTTTCTCCGGGAACTGACTCTCCAGCACGCGGATCCTCGGGGCCCAAGCGCCATCCTTCTTGTCGGAAATCAGATTCCTTAAGAAGAGGGTGCAGAGTAGCATCGAGATAAACAGAAAGGAGATTTTGGAAATCTTGTTGGTTGGTCGTGGCAAATGGGTATGTAGTGTGGTCAGAAGCTGTGAAAGCATTCATGAAATTTGAGAGGGAACGCGGAAGCATCTTGAAGAACGGGTCACGGATTGGAAATCTTGAGGAACCATCAGGTCAGCAGAAATATAGAGGTTTCGATATCGGGTTGCTCACTTTTCGCTACCACATAGTGTGGTATGCTCCAAAATATGTGGCACACCAGTAGCATCCGGTGGATTTGTCTTGAACCCGATTCCGAACACATTGTTCTTATCATCTCTGGCGACATGCATGTAGTCCGCATCGGTTTTGTCATGCTTCAGCCATACTGCAGTCAGGTGAAGCTCAGGAACATGCTTCTTCTCCTGCAGGGTGAATCCGTGTAGCTTCTCACCGACCTTAGGGAAGTTATCCAAGTTGGTAACCGTCGATGCGGCTCTCCAAGTATTGCGCGGAAGGACGGTTTGTGTCGACTTTAATGAGCGACCGATAAGCGGGTGAGAATTTGGCACTCGCGCCGTACCGAGGCGCATTGATGAGCGCAACATGATTATATTAGTTGACGATCGTAGAGAATAAGCAACCCCGGAGTTGAAAATGTCCAGCCCGGCCACCCGACCGCCCGGGCTTACATCATCTATGCTAGCGTAAGCCTCACTGGCTGCCCGCTCGTCGAAGTTCTGCTCCGAAGACCAACATTTGCTCTTTCCCGAACGCTACGACAAACGAACGATTCCTACATCCCAGAGCCAGTGATCTCGCTCGTGAGCCTTGTCTCTGGGATCTCTGTTCCGTGTGATTGATCCGTCTAGATCCTGCCCTGTATCCCGCCTATCTGGCGCAAATTTTCGGCTTCCGGCCTTCGTACCAACCTCCCGTGAATCGAATCGCCAAATACGTTGTTTCTGTAATACTCCACGCAAACACCATGTCGTCCACCTCCATGGCGAAGAAGAATAAGGGGAAGAAAGCGGCCGACCCAAACGAGACGTCTAAGCTTTTGGCCGCCAAGATCTCCCAGCTGGAGCAAGATGCCGCCGGCGAGAAAGACCAAGAGGCGGAAATTGGTGCGTGACTCCCTTCGTATTCTGCGGCGGCATTTTTCCTCTTTGCTTGGTGCCGCCGGGCCACGGTGTTAGTCTGGAATTAGGGGTCACTAACTCGGGATTTTGATATACAGAGCGCGAGGTCAAGAAGGCAACTCGTGATCTCAACCAGCTTTTGAGCAATATTGAGTCTCCTATGACCAAACTCGAAACCGTCCATAAGAAATACACCGAGCTCTTGGCAGATATGAAGAAGTTGGATCGTGATTATTCAAAGAGCAAAAAGCGCGCCGATCAGCTGCAAAAAGACCAGGACAAGGGCAAATCCGATCTCAACAAGACCATTACAATGAAAGACAAGCTGGAGAAACTGTGCCGAGAGCTTACGAAGGAGAACAAAAAGGTCAAGGTAGGTCCATCAGCATGCGCCTCGAGACGATTGCACCAAACACCGCGGAGGACTTGCCAGCTAAACGATTTGGTAGGATGAAAATAAGAAGCTGGAGGACACAGAAAAGAAAGCGCGCTTGATTGTTAACGAACGTCTCGACTCGCTTCTCTATGACATCCAAGACGTCATGGCTGCCAAGGGGAACCCTCGTAGCGAAAAGGTGGATGTTGATTTGGACGAAGCGTACGATTTCAATTTTCTTTTCTTCTTCGGACTTTGGGGTTGCTAACCAGAGAGGTTTAGACTCCGTGCCAAGCTTAAGACCATCAGCGAGCAGTTCGACACGCGCGACCTACATTACAGAGGCCTCCTACGTGGCAAGGACTCTGAGATCCAAAGTCTCGCCTCCAAGTTTGAGGAGCAGCGCCGTGCTGGTGAGGTTGAAGCCAACCGAAGCCGAGCTTTGACCTCCCAGGTTTCCACATTCTCGCATACCGAAGCCGAATTGCGCAGCCAACTCAACATCTACGTGGAGAAGTTCAAACAGGTACAGAAGGGTTCCCATAACCCCTCTCATTCCCCGGTCGCTGACGAAGACCTTCAGGTCGAGGACACTTTGAACAACAGCAACGATCTTTTCCTTACCTTCCGCAAGGAGATGGAAGAAATGTCCAAGAAAACCAAACGCCTGGAGAAGGAGAATCATACCCTCAACCGGAAGCACGAGCAAACTAACCGCAATATCCTGGAAATGGCAGAGGAACGGACCCGGAATCATGAAGAACTTGAAAGATGGCGACGGAAGTGCCACCACCTAGAAGCCCTTTGCCGGCGTATGCAAGCCCAGGGCCGAGGCGAAGGACTTGCCCTGGCGGAAGGCGACGATCATTTAGAGGGTGATGATGAAGGCACCGAAAGCGAATACGATGATGACTACGAAGATGACGAGGAGGATATCAGTGATGAGGAAGATCTTGAGCCACCCCCAACCCGGGTCGACCAACCCTCAGAGAAGCCTGTCTTCGGTCCAACTCCGCCCCCGAATCTTTTGGAGGCTCGAGCAAATGGCAACGCCACGGGAGTCAATGGCTTGGTTTTCTAAGATTATTCCAATTTTATCTGATGTCGATTTTGATTGAAACAACTTGGTTACCCTCGATAAAGACGCTTTTCTTCGACTTTGTACTTTTCTCCCAAGGAAAATGCTTTAGTTCGCCTTGTGGTTTACAAAGATCCGAATATTCGTGTTCAATTCGAAAGTAGAAGTTCTGGTGCTATCTATTTTGGTTTGTCTCACGATATTCGATGGTTGCCGATGCCTGTTCCATCTTCCTCGTTGGTTTCTGCAAGTCTTATTGGTTTTGGAGTGTTTTTGTACAAGTACATATCATATTATTATCAAAAAAAGAAAGAAAAAACTTGCCAAGCATTATTGCACTAACCTCAGCGTGATACCCCCATTTTATCCAGCTTCATGTCTTATCTATAGTTTACTCGCGGGGCCTGTGGCAGTGATATATGAGCCTCCGACTTTGAGCACCTCGACAGCCTGCTGAACCATTTCCTTCACAATGACCCCGGCTGGTTTGATCTCCTTGACACTGGCCGAGACATCACCCATGAGGAACGGCACATCGATATCCTTCTCATTCTCCAAATCATGCATCATGGGCACAACACCCTTAGAAGTCAGCGCGGCAATATCAGCAGGACGCGCTTCCCACTCCTTGATGTAATCATTAGGCAGCATGCGCAAAGGCCGACCAGAGATAACAAGCGTGCGCTTGGTCTCACCGAACTGTGCCCCAACAACAGCCTCCTTGTGCAAGCGACTAGCACTGCTCTCATCCGAGGCCACAAACCGCGTGCCTACCCAAACACCCGCAGCACCATACATCAATGACGCCGCCAGGCTGCGGCCATCGTTGATACCACCGGCTGCAACAACAAGAGCCGGTTGGCCAGTCAACGGACTCTTATAGTTCCGCGCAACATCCACAATAGCAGGTACCAGAACGGAGAACGGCACTTCGCCGGTATGACCGCCGCCCTCGCCGCCCTGTGCACAAACAATATCGACGCCCGCCTTGAACGCCTTCTCAGCGTGCTTTGGCGCGCCGACCATATTCATAATCAGGATACCGGCCTCATGGAGCCGCTTAATAGTCTTCGCTGGCGGGATGCCGACGGCGGAGACGAACAGCTTCGCGCCGTGCGATATGGTCACCTCGATCAACTCGTCCAGGTGGCCGTGTGTGTAGTCATGGTTCGTTGCACGTGCTGAGCCTCCGACTTGAGGAAGGGCGAGATCCACGCCGAAGGGAAGCGAAGGGTCCCGGAGGAGTGACTTGAGCTCTGTGAGCATCTCTGATAGTTGCGCTGGTGTATATCCCAGTCCGCCAATTGTACCTAGACCGCCGGCATTAGACACTGCTGCTGCTAGCGGGGCTCCAGAAGCGCGGGCCATGCCAGCTAGCAGCACTGGGTGTTGGATCTTGAGAAGAGAGCATAACGGCGTTTGGAGAGACATTGGATTGTGGAGGAGATGGCAGGTAGAAACAGAACTGCGCTGACAGATGGCCGTATCTCAATACTCTCTTGCCTTTATATCATGAGGATCATGTTTGATGGAGAATGCGGGGAAGCTCTAAGCCATGGACCGAGGCAGCTGATAGCCGATCTACATCATGCAGGTCCTACAATATTGTGCAATGATTATGAATAGCACATCTCGAGCCTTTTCCAGCATTACCAACCGTAAGCCCTTGAAGTTGGCTTAATGCGATATGAACAACTCGATTACTGGAATATCTATTTTTTTGCCTTGGGGCCTAACTTAGGCTTTACTGAGACTATAAGGCGAAAGGATAGTGTTTCTAATATTAATGAAATATATAGCAAATTTCAATCAATTTGATTATTTCCATTTAAAAATCACTTTAACCAGTTGCCACGAAATCTAGAAGCGGGAATGTAATTGAACGCGCTAACTGACGCGTGGGCGCGTCAAACGCATCTTTTTGCATCACCACCCCAACCATCCCCCGAAACATAAGATCTCATTATTCCGGACATTATGGCACCGGATGCTGAGGATTACACTTTCTTGTGTCCTCCCAGGTAATACCTCTTGATCCACTCTACCTCCATCCCTCTGCCTGGCTACTAGTGGGGAGCTTTCGCTGACCATTACGCTCTTCCTCGATAGCAAGGAGGAACAGGAACAGGAACCAGTTTATCGCACACCCTCCCATTACAATCCCCGTCATACCTACCACCTACCAACTGGCGCAGGACGGCACTATCAGCAGCAATATGACGACCTGTACTTTTTGCGACTCGCAAAGTTGAAGCCCGCCGTCGAAAATGTCGCTAAATATGCATGGGATGGACTTATTGTAAGGGCATTTTATCCTAGAAAATATTTTCTACTCTCAACTATAGACTTTTCTGACATATGCTTGCAAATTTAGATTGCTGGAGAGAAGGTGCGACGTGTCGATCGAGTACTTGATGTCCGACAAGGCGAGCTGTGCTGGGTCGCTGGCACCGTATACATGGATATGCCAATGAAGCCGAATATTTTGGACGATCTCAGCAAAGAGGTCAGTTTATTGGTCTTGCTCCTGCTTCGTCTTCCACTGACAGCCCATAGAACTTCACCTCTGCGCCACCTCCCCGCCGCACCTACACCGATCCTTCCAACCCATCTTTGACCCAAATTATGATGGAAGATGAATCCGGCCGCTTACGGCTCACGGGGAACTTCTTGCGGTCTACACAGCTGGCGACAGGTGCCATTATTGCGGCTTTGGGGACTGAAAATGCGAATGGAGATTTCGAGGTTATTGATATCAAACTGCCGGATTTGGCTCCTCAGCTTCAACGATGGGAGGGCAAGGCTCCAGAAAATGGAGTTGAAGTTTCTGGAAAGGAGCACGGCAAAATTGCCTTCGTCAGTGGCCTGGGAATCACAGGAACATCGAGCGACACGCTTGCTTTGGAACTATTGACAGACTATCTTCTGGGCTACACGGGATTCTCAGGGACCGACGATAACAGTCATTCCTTGGGTTCCTCTAAAATCACCCGGTTGGTCATCGCAGGTAACTCACTTGGAGCCAGCGTAGTTGGCGACTTGGCATCAACACACTCTAGCAACGATGGGGCAACAAAAACACTGCCGAAAAAGTATGGCTATGACGCCTCTGCATACAATCCCGCACCTATCACAGAACTCGATAATTTCCTAGCGGAGATCTTGCCCAGCATTCCTGTCACGCTCATGCCGGGCGAAAAAGATCCCGCGAACTTCTCGCTCCCTCAGCAGGGGATTCATCGGACTATGTTCCCTCAAGCAAGGGCATATTCTGCACCTCCAGCCAGAGGGGATGACAAGCCCGAAGCGGGCTGGTTTGACAGTGTCACGAACCCCTGGGACGGCGACGTGGAAGGCTGGCGACTATGGGGGTGCAGCGGTCAGAATGTTGACGATGTCCTACGGTATATCACTATTGAGGGCGGCGATAGCAGCCCAGACAAGGAGACAGATTCCGATGCTCGGATGCGAATCATGGAAGCCATGCTTCGTTGGCGCTGCGGCGTTCCCACTGCGCCGGACACAATTTGTATGCTTGGACATCCAAATCCTCAAAGAATCTTTGCTAACAATACTCTCCAGGGTCATATCCATTCCAGTCGGATGATCCATATGTTATCGAGACCTGTCCGCATATCTTTTTCGCTGGCAATCAGCCACAGTTCAAGACTGCCACTATTGAGGGTGATGTCCCTCTCCGCCTAGATGGCGACACTGAAATGATGGGTGCCGCTGATGGCTCTGATGCAGCCCGTGTCCGGCTGCTCGCAATTCCCAAATTCAACGAAACTGGGGAATTGATTCTAGTTGATACCGAGACGCTAGAGGTCGAGGTGGTCCGGTTTGGAGTTTTCAAGGGTCAGGAAGAACAAAAGTGAATTGATAGACATACCAATCCATGAATGGTGCTAATGAAATAACCATCTTGCCAAATCACTTGTATATTGATACATTTATATAACCCCATAGCCGCTCAGACAAATTGTATACAACCCGAGTGGCTCCACGCGCCAAGACCCACAATTGGAAGAATCCATCCCACTAACTTCCTCTGCTTTATATCCATCGAGACACTAATAGACGTCGAATGGGCATTTCTCTACAAGAGTACATACCAGCTGGACAATTCTGGATCATTCACACTGAAAAAGTTCACTTTCTGAACATCTACCCACAATGCTTCTCAATGCCAACATCGGTACGCTGCTCTATGCCCATACCCACATATATACTTTCCCCCGGAGATCGAGACTATAAAAAATCCGAGGAAGCTGATTTAAACTTCTGAGGGATAGCCCTCTGCTCCTCAAAGGCCCTTTTAGTCCCATACTCATCATGGCACGTACCCCGGTACCACGAATGGATGAAAGACCCGGTAAGCAAACAAGATCAATAAGATCATAGATATAATCGACCGCCTTTCTTACAAAGCTTTAGGAAATTCAAGAAGCAACAGCCTCAGAGCCCTTGACGCTAGAAGAAGAATATTCGATGCAACGCAGCTGGCGCCAGGACGCAGACAAACTAACCTTCATCGTCTGTCGCGCGATCACAACAGGCGCCGAAGATGACATCCCCAGCCAGATAGAGCTGCAAGCAGAAAGTGACTCGCCGGCTACTATGGTCGGCGATATCAACCTCTTTCTACGCATTGATGATGGCGAGGAGGGCAACAGCCCGCCGCAGATAGTCGGCGAGATCGAGCTCATGATCGCTGAGAAGGTCAATCAGCGACGCGGGTTTGGGCGCGCTGCGCTACTAATGTTTATGCGGTATATTGTTCAGAACCAGGGGGCTATTCTGGATGAGTTTGTTGGTGGTGGTGATGTTGATGTTGAGACTGTGCGGAAGTTGCGGACTGGTGTTGAGACGGCGGCCTCCTCGGAGGGGTTGACGCTTGAGTGTCTCAGTGTTAAAATTGGACAGGCGAATTTGAGGAGTTTGGCGTTGTTTGAAGGGCTTGGGTTTGAGAGAGTCTCTGCTGAGCCGAATTTCTTTGGAGAGTTCGAGTTGCGCAAGGCGGATTTGAGTCTAGGTGGCGTAGATGCGGCACTTGAGGAGGCGAATGTACGAGGGTTTATTGCTTTGCCTTATGAGAGAACAGAATAGAATTTGTTTCTCGATAATTTATGGTTATTTGGGGTCGCAGTTGTCAAATGAACAGGGCACATAGCATTCCATAATACTCGAATAACAGATAAAGCATCAAAAGTCACGTCTCTTCAAGATACCCTCCACCTGATGTTTCCCTTGTAACACTGAATCAGGCATACAAAGCCGGTCCCGGGATAGGATACTCAGTCAGAGGAGAATAAAGATCGAACAGAATTCCGGGATCAGTGTTGGTATACAACTCCACACCAAGCGTACCGGCAGGTACATCACTTCCACCACCAGTGACCTCCAAATTGAAGCACTGCGGGTAGTTCTGAGCGCCATTCTCATTGCCAGCAGAGTGAAGACCGATAATCTCATGGCGCATGACATAGTTGCCCGCAGCGATAGTAGCAGGAATTCTCACAGTCCACGCGCTTCCGGCAGCAATAAGATCATCGCTGGCCCATGTGCCAGGAGGAGTTGTGCCATCAATGAGACCGTCTTCTTCAATCTTGAAGAATTCCAGCGTGGTCTTGTCGACTGTGCTGCAGTCACCGTTGCACGAGGCGAGGTATGTGATCACAGGTCCATGGTGGGACTCTGGCCAGGCCGTCCATTGGATGTCAATGTCGGAGCCAGCGGTGACAGTGGCACTCAAAGCTGCGTTGACTCCATCTCGGTGGCAGATTATGTTCGGGTCTTGGTATTCGGTACCGTCTTCGAACCCGAGGTCGGTTGCCGTTGTTGCCCAGCCGACGCTGTCGGGGGCATCACCCCCGTGGCCATATTTGTCAACGAGGTAACCAGTGTAGCTGATAATGTGGTTAGTTGGTTGTTGGTATGAGAAGTCTTTTGGTTGGATTGACTTACTTTTTGCCATCAGCTACGATGCTGGTAACGTAGGCATGGCCTGCAACAAGCGAGGCCGAGGCTAGGATTGTAGATAGCTTTAGAAGTGTCATTTTGGGTTGGGCTTTTTTGGTAAAGAACTCAGTGGATATTTCTGTCTTGAAAAACATATCTTTGCCCGCAGCAGCTACGGTTTATATACACAACCCTCGCAGGGCTCGTCTTAGTCCGGTCTCCTATGAAACTCTTGATTTAGCCGGGCGTTATGCTCCTGAAGGAGGTCCGTTCTGATCCTGGAATGGTGTCAAGTACAATTACGTCAATTGGCATAAGTTAGGCACAGAGATGTAACATCGAGTGTGAACTAAGAGGCCTACTGCAGGAACTTGTTGGTGGAAAATCATAGATCAAAGCCGGAGCTCAACCTATGCATTATCTTATTGGTTTGGATAGAAAAACCTCCGCGTTTGAGACACAAAGGAGATGTATTACCAGGGGTCATGGGGTCAGCCATCCTCCGTAGTAAATAGGGCTACTCATGTAAATCCCTTGGGAATCCCTTGGAAATCCCTTGGAAATAGAATTCACATGTATATATTTTGCGGGGTGCAGAAGTCAGGGGCACAAGTGCCAGCCGCCATGGCTAATTTCTGCAGCCAACAACGGCAATAAACGGTGTTTATCCGGGGATAACGGGCCGACGGAAATATAGAAGCAGCTATATATTACTATAGAACGCTCAATCTACTTTATGATATGATTGATGCCAAGAGAAGCTGTGACATGCCAAGCAATGTGGAGGATGGGATGTATAGGAATTAAGTGCCGTGGCCTGAAGAGTAATGATCTACGGAATAACATAGGTACTGGATTGATTGAAATCTACTTAACGTATCTGGTAACATACCACTACTAAACTCGAGGTGAGGAAACCTGTTAGATTTGATTGATGATAAAACAAAACAATAGATACTAACAATTGAAAATGAAAACACAAAGTGATATAATATCAAGACAGAGGAATATTCGAATGTCAGCAATATTGCCCTAAGCGTAAGCCCGAATCTTGGAATTTCGGCAGATACAATCAACCCCATGGACCGAGAAGATTAGTACACATCTGCGCTTACCCGATTAGTAGGGACTCTAACCAAGAGTCGGATATTGGCCAGACCTTCTGAAGATACCAACACTCCGGATAGCCGATCACTCCTTACGCGTGGCGCTATCTTAAGGGTCCTCGAGAAGCCTGGCCCACTCAGGATATCTCTATTATCTTGAAGATTTTGGCAATAAACTCGGATGAGGCAGAAAATGGTTTAGAGGTCAAAAGAAATGTTGTTGTAGTCGTACATGTCTGTCGGTAGTGCTTGTTGTCCAAACTTTTCAAGTTTAGCGTCGATTGATAGAGACCTGAACGTCCTACCGCACTCGTTGCAACATCCCATATGAGTACCAGGCACCATCTCGGCGAACCACTCGAAGCACTGATCGCAGTCATCATGCAGGATACCGGTGATGAGATCGGGGCCTAGAGCGTGGGGATCTAATATGGGGAAGGTGTCGGGTTCTACGCCCTGGAGGATCAAAGCTGTTTTCGCAACATCGATGTTTGGGTACCACACGACGGCATTCACGCGCTGCTTGAGACTGTTCGGGGTATTGCTATCCATCCATCCGAGTTTGATGTATTCTTCTACTGTCTTGTTGGTTTTCATCAGCTGGTTAATGGAATGAAAGTTCTCGTGTGTCAATCTAGGAGAGCCCCCTAAGAGCTTGTCTAGGATCTTGAAGATAATCTCTGGTGGAAACTTGCCAAAGTTGCCCATAGCAGGGTCCAATGGTTTTTGGTCGAACATATTTCCGACTCAACCTTCGCTGTGTTGACTGAATGGAGCCGTGTCGAAAACCGAGTGAGATTCTGGAAACGACAACATATATTTCTCGACTCCGATGAATAGGGAACCACGCGATGCTGATATGATAAATGTTGTTGACGGCTTTAGTGTTGGGGCTCCGTGTTTATTTATATACAGGTTCGAGGGGGCATGCTGTGGACATACTTGCTTTGACATTTACAAAAAGAAAAGAACCACAAAGGTCCTTCAACGTAATCATCCTCAACAATGGAATTATGCGAGCAAAAGTATGAAGTGGAGTTGAAAGACTTGGTCCCAACCCCCGAATCAAAGAACCCAATACCGGATAAAAGTAGGCATCGTTTTTGTTTTCAGTCGAGCTATCAAGTTTACAGAAAGACATATAGTTAGCCTCAGTCTGAGATTATTTGACCAGAGATCACGACAGGCTTCTGGTTTCGATTCAAGTTGAGTCAATAAAAAGGCCGGAGGCGACTGTGACGCTTGTTGACAGGATTGAAGGATCGTTGATCTACACAAGTCAGCATCTACCCGGTCTACTTTTTGCCTTGGGAGACAATATGAAAGTCGGGAGAACATCCATGAAAAAAAATAATGGATTAGGAAATCTCGACTGAAAACGAGAAACCTATGTAGTAATGATATTTCAACTGTTTTTTTCATTGGGTTGTAGGGACTGGAAACTCCGACAAAAGCCTTCCTCGAGTGCGTCCAGAAAATGCGAGTCGCCTAACCGGTGAATAATAGCAGCCGGTTTCAAAGGCGCAAAGAAACCCGGGCGTGAAAGTCATGTTCCGCGCCACGGAGTTTTCCCCGTGCCGGCTCGCAGAGGGACCAAGCCCGTGTCATGTATCCCTCCAACAGTTGGTCTTGCATGCATCAACAACCAATCACGCCGCACTCCGATCCTCCATTCAGTCCATTGTTACCGAATTTAGTTGGTCTTCTTGGTGCCCTTGGAGACATCGACGACCTTGAGGGCTGTTCAGAAAGAAATCGTCAGCATAGGTTCAGAGCTGTATTCAAAGTCCATCTTCCAAGTTGCGTATCCTCCAATCTTCTCAACTCATACGGCGGAACAATGCGATCGTAACGTACCAGGGGGCAGGCTCTGCTTGAGCTTGTCGGCCTTGTCGGAGTCCTTCAGGACAAGAGTGTAAAGGTTGCGGTGGCAGCGGACCTTGAACTTGGTCTGCTGGTTCTTGCCGTTCTTCTTGATGCGGGCGGCTAAAGGCGTAAATAGTCAGCATCGATGATCATCTCCAAGTCTCATGGCGGAACTCCATCAATGCAGCGCAACGTACAGGAGGCATCCTTCCGGCGGCAGATCTCAATGAACTGCTTGATATCGGAGACTTCGGCAGGCATAATGACGGTTGCGGGTGTTTTGAAGCAAGGTGCAAAAGAGAAAGCTCACTGTCGACACTAGCCTCTAAGGTGAATGTGTGCGGATCACGTTTAGGGCTTGAAGCTGCAAAAGCCCTTGCTTAGTCATGTACAATTTACAGTCGGGTTGGTGCCTCAGGCGGGGAAGCTGCGGTGGCTGGTTGGGGAGTTGTGGCTCGTGCAACTGGGGTCATAAATGTGGCTGGGAGATTTGGGGGCAGCGAATGGGACTGCGGGAAATGATGGACGGTCCCTGTGTCTCCCTCGGGAATGCGATATGATGCAAAATGGGAGTCCATCATTGTCCGCGATGGTTGAACCCGTTGTTCAGCATATCCTGGCCACTTAGTATTTCTGCTCCCCAATCGTGAATGGCGATACAGTTTCGGCGGTGGCTGAAGGGGTGTGCTTCCTTCAGGATCGAAATTCTCCAGGTCCATGCTCTCTGGAGGAGTATTGCCTTTTGATGTGACATGCAGATGGACTCGGTATCGTTTATAGAAAGCTATGCTGTAAACAGGGTCAATGTCTGGCTTGATACATACTGCAATGAAGATCAGCCATACCCTTGTATGATGGCAGCTCCCACCGCAATAACGAACGTAACTGAAGACAGAAAGATGACTGCTTCCATATCGTCTATTCAAGTAGGCTGTTCAAAGTGATTTGAAATGATCGAGGGCAGTAATGATAAACTGATGGGTATAGATATGCGATGCAATGGCTGCTATAACAGGGAGAGCGACAAATTTACAGGGGGCATTTCATTTTTGAGTATCTAATCATGACTCGATGTTTACGTATCTAATCACTCGAAGGAAAGTGCCATCAACCGGCAGGAGTTATTGAAATATTAGTTGAAGTAGTTGCGTGTAGTTCGAAGGCAGCAGCCAGGGGTGGCGTGGTGTGGCGGTGCAACCCGCATCTTGACGAACTGTTCACATCTACCAACAAGTCTTGAATACTTATCTTTTGCACGTGTCCTTTGAACCCTTTTTCTTCCATATATTCTCTCTTAAATCGTTGGGGGGATTTTTACATCAACCTAAGATTCAAAGAATACTGCATCATTTTTGAAAATGCCGACCCCTCTAGACCGAGCATTGAATTCCAAGGTATTAACATCATGTCTCTCTGTTTTATGATATCTAATGCCGAACTCGATAGAACCTATTCCTTGGTAGATGATTCAAAATTAAGGTACTTAACAACATTTCTGACCACAATCTTTTTATATAGGATTTGCAGGAATGGTCACTGCGGTGGCAGCCTATACCATCTTGGGCAGCGATGTTCTCCCTGCACAAGCAGATCCCACTGGTGGTAAGAGTAGATATTACTAGGTATCAAACACAGGCTAATGACAGCCAGACCCTGAAAACTGGACAATGGATGAGATAAAAAGATGGCTTCAAGCGGTATGTTTTGAGTGATTTGTTTGGGCATGACTAAGTCCTATACATTTTCTTGAGAATGGTACACTGATCAAACATCTCAGCGAGGGCTTTTACCGAATGAGCGTGCGACGCGCGAGGAGCTGCTTGAAAGAGTCAAAGCAAATCTCCGCATACCGCGCAAGACATCGGCTGGGCCATAATCCCCATAATAATGGGGAAGACATCAGCATTTTCTTCTCTTTCTGGCGTCTGGCGCTCTAGTTTTTGAAGCAATTTCAAGCAGTGGATCATTGTTTACATCGTATCTCCCAGCAGTTCATCCTTGGTGGGTGGGCATGTATTGATTTCCTTCACTTCAGTCCATTGCATAGCCTGTTGGCTTGTATGGCTGGTTCATAATTCGTTGGATTAAATGTTGCATGGCTGCTCAAACGACAAGGCGGAAGTTCTGGCTTTCGATGAGCCAATCCTTGCGGCCTCTCGCTCTCTCTGCGGATGGATTGGGGACCAGCACAAAGGTCTCGCTGAACCCACGTTGCGGCTGATCGCGACCCTCGCCATAGCGCACAAATCCACTTACTACAATGAGAAATGACATGTCTTTGACTCCCATCTCTGACTGTGGCTTCAGTCCACCACCCGGCAAAATGGTAGGGTATGCTTTGTTGATGATCTGGCAGTCGTATGATTGGACTTCGTAGTATGTTGGCGACATTTGATTGGTAAAGATTTCTTGCACCGCGGCGCCATCTGTGACACGATTTCCATTGAACAGGATGGTTGTGGGCTCGAGGGAGTAGTAGGAGCTGAGAGATTCGCGGTTCAATCCCAAAGCCGGATAGAAGGTCTTGACAAACTCGGTCGCAGCTAAGCATGAAAAGAAACCAAAGGTTAGTTGCTTCCAATAAGGGATGACATAGCTTATATTTTGAGACTTACCCTCGGTCGACACTTTGGTTAGTGTATCCTCGCTTGCTGCAGCCATCGCGATCGGTATTTCAAGTTGGCAAAAGAGGGGGAATAGTTGTGCGCAATATAAGACGTAGAAATATGTTTCAAACGAGAATATATATATATATATATTATAGATACGATTGAGGACAAGGTCGTGGGTATGCTCGATGACGATGTAAGCGCGGCGAGGTACCTAAGCGCAGAAAATTGGCCGAGACTTGCGGAGAAGCTCGGACCACCCGAGATGTGCGGAATAACATGCGACGCTCTTCTTACCATATCACCATACCAATGGCTGCAGCAAGGACGCCACTTCGCTCGTTATTTAGAGCGTCTCAACTTCTGAGATCGAGGCACCCGTGGAACTGTGCATCCCGCAAGAATGGATGGGCAACAACTCCCCGGCGCGGAGTCACAACTACGCCGCAGAGATCCAACAAACCTTACTATGTGACAACACCAATTTTCTACGTCAATGCTGGTGAGGATTATAGTGCATACCATATGAAAACTGGGTTGCTAACAATACGTTCGACTTCTAGCCCCTCACGTCGGCCATCTATACACAATGGTGATCGCCGATATCATGAAACGATGGCAGGTCTTGCTCGGGAATACAGATGCCCAACTACTCACCGGAACCGATGAGCATGGAATGAAGGTACTACATATGCATGGCATTGTAGGTCGATAATAGGCGTTGACATCAATCACAGATTCAACAAGCTGCCATTAAAGCGGGCATGGATACCCAGGCATTTTGTGATATGAACTGCCGAACATTTGAGGTGCGAGTCCCCTTTTGTCATATCCAAGGACATCTCTAACTCAATGTATTTGATACAGGCGCTAGCGAAGGCTGCAAACCTCGACAATGATCATTTCATCAGGACTACCGACCCGGCGCATCGAGATGCCGTCCAATATTTCTGGGTAGGCGACTACCTTCCGTTCATAGTAGAGCATGGCTGATCATGAGTAGGAAATGTTGCAACACCGGGGCTATATCTATACCTCAAAGCATGAAGGTTGGTATTCAGTCAGCGATGAGACATTCTACCCTCAGACGCAGGTGCAGAACTCCCTAGATCCATCAACAGGGAGGAAACGAATGGTATGTAAACTATCATTTCTCCAACAAGTACGAATACTCACCACACACAGGTTTCAATAGAAACGGGTAAAGAGGTAGAGTGGTCCTCAGAAACCAACTACCACTTCCGTCTCTCAGCCTTCAAGGATCGTTTACTTGACTTGTACAAAAGAGAAGATCCGTTTATCACCCCTACCTCCTACACAGCTGCTGTGATCAACGGAGTTGAGTCGGGACTGCAGGATCTCTCGATTTCTCGGCCTGTGGAACGTTTGACTTGGGGCATCCCTGTTCCTGGCGATGACACGCAGACAATCTACGTGTGGCTAGATGCGCTGGTTAACTACCTGACCAAAGCTGGATATCCTTTCCCACCCGGACAAGAAAACACATCTATATGGCCTGCAGACTTGCATGTAGTTGGCAAAGATATTGTTAGGTGAGTTCACGACTTGTCCCGAAGGAGCGCGTGGAAGGTTAATCATTTGGCAGATTCCATTGTGTTTATTGGCCTGCTTTCCTCATGGCTCTTGATATTCCTCTGCCTCGGAACGTCCTGGTGCACGGACACTGGACGATGAACCGTGAAAAAATGTCCAAGTCCACAGGCAATGTTGTGAACCCGTTTTTCGCCATTGAGCGGTTCGGAGTCGATGGAATGCGATTTTTCCTAGCGTACCGGGGTGGCCTTGCAGATGACGCGGACTTTGACAATTCCTTTATCATCCGAGATTACAAGAAAATGCTTCAGGGGGGTCTCGGAAACCTTGCTTTGCGTGCAATTGGTTGTGCGCGTGGCAATTTGCGGTCGTACATTATGGACGCCGGATTGGATAAGCTTCCAGCTGCTACCCCTGAGGACATGGAACATCAAGAAATGTTGGAGCAGACGCCTCTCCAGGTTGCCGAGCTTATGCAAAATCTGAACCCCCGTGCCGCGCTGCACGAAACTATGAGCATTATCGAGAAGGTAAGAGGTGATCATCCCCGCACGGGTTCAGCGAGTATTGACCTGTTTTTTTTAGACTAACAAGTACTTCCATGCGGCGGAGCCGTGGAAAACTCCTAACTCTCAACGAGTCATCTACAATGTGGCGGAATCGCTGCGGATCACTGGCATTTTATTGCAACCGTTCATGCCCGGCAAGTCTCATGACCTTCTAGAATTGCTCCGTGTGAACACCTCGGACCTCTCCAAGCGGGCATTCGCGGCCACGGCGTACGGTTCGGATACAGATTACGGTGAGGGCGTTAAGAAAGGGGTTCTTTTCCCTCCTTTGCTCACTGAGGAGTAATATGCCTGTTTTTGAGCTTTCGATTTGATAAGAGGAATCGACCGGCGGCCAATCATGAACGATCGAGAGGTCCGCCTGAATAAAGATGTGCATCTTCTCCGCCTAGATCCGCCAGAGTTGATGAGGTTTTTTTTCCCGTCCTCCACATCTCGAAAGCTGAGACGTCAGGTTTTCCACGCCCGGCCACTCTAATCCAAACAGCATGTAACGGTATGTCATGACCGTCATGGCCGATCCACTGTGATTGGAGTTTCCCCCAAGGTTGTTGACGGGAAAAGGCTGGGCCAGAACCGTGAACGCTGCGGTCAGTCCTATCAGGCGGGAAACAGGGAGTTTCCCGCCGGGAAACTTTTGCCCTAGCCCAGGAGGCTCACTGTGTATATCAAAACATGTCTTAATATCTGCATACTGGAGTTTGGATATTTTAGTATTTATCGCTTTCCTTTTTCTTCCCGATATCTCCCTATCTCTCTGTTTTGAATATAAAACCTACTGTCGTGTAACCAGTCGACTCAACAATTTACTATTTTGGGAACAATCATTTCTATACTTCTGGTCTTGGAACTCCTTCGGTGACCAGCAGAGCCATTTTTGTCTCTTCCGTTTGTTCAACACATCAAAATGGGGAGCATCGACATTTCTGCCTGCGATCAACTGCAGTTCAAAACGCCATGGATCGAGACACCACTGGTCGAGTCTGCCTGCCTTTCTCGGGCAGCTGGATGTAGGATCTTCCTGAAGTTGGAGAACGTGCAACCAAGCGGCTCCTTCAAGTCCCGTGCTATGGGCAACCAGATCCTCTCTCACCTTCGCAATCCAGCAAACGTGGGCCGCAGGGTCCACTTCTATGCGTCGTCCGGAGGAAACGCCGGACTGGCAGCCGTCTGTGCAGCCCGAAGCCTGGGCTACCCATGCACCGTCGTAGTACCCATGGGCACTAAGCCTTTAATGCTTGATAAAATCCGGGCGGCAGGCGCAGCAGATGTCATCCGTCACGGTGAGACATTCTCAGAAGCGGGAGAATACATGCGGGAAACTATCATGAAGACATCCAGTGGAGATGACCAAGATGTGATCAAGATTGCCCTCCACCCTTTCGACAACCAACCCATTTGGGAAGGAAACAGCACCATCATCGACGAACTCGAGACCCAGCTTCCTCCCGCCACCAGCCCCGAAGACAAAAAAGCATACAATGACCGGGCCCTTCCCCTAGACGCTATCCTTTGCAGCATCGGCGGTGGCGGCCTTCTCAATGGCCTCGTCATGGGAATCGAAAAGCGACGACAAAAGAAGCAAATTACCTCCTCTTCCTTCTCCAAACCAAACCCCATTCACTTCCTCGCCATTGAAACGGCCGGTACCGATTCCCTAGCAGCAGCCATGGCCAATAAATCCCTCATCTCTCTCCCAAAGATCACATCCCAGGCTACTTCTCTTGGTGCTGTTCGCGTCTCGGAAACAACCTTCCAGTACGCTATGTCCCCGCCCCCAGGCATCAAGGTGCACAGCACCGTCCTGTCAGATGCAGACGCCGCCCGCGGCGTGCTCCGCCTCGCCAACGACGAGCGACTCCTCGTCGAGCTTGCGTGCGGTGTCTGCATTGAGGCGGCCATCGGTGATGCCGCTACTGCTGTTCCTGCGTCAGTGACTGGCGGCGCAAACGCTCAAAGCATTAAAAAGCGTAAGAGGGATCCGGGTGAGACTGAAGTTACTTACCGTGATGAGGGCTATGGTGATGATCGGTCGACCTCGACCGATAATGATACGGACCAGGAGCTTGAGCCGGAGGTCGAGAAGCTCAACTCGAAGCTTAAGCAACTTGTCCCTGATCTCAACTCACAGAGTAGAGTTGTCATTATTGTCTGCGGCGGTAGCTATGTCACCATTGATATGGCTTGTGAATGGCGCAAGATGTTGGATGAGGGATGGGCATGAATATTGATGATAATGGATATCTTTTGTTTATATACCTTTTTTTGGCTTGACTTTTGGCGTTTGATTTGCCGCACTACACTTTTTGGTTTCGGACTTTCTAATTACTATCGTCTACATAGAGGCTTGAACTTTCGCACAGTTCATTCATACAATCATACAAATTATACGGCGGCCGTATACTTAAAAAAAAGAATACCATTTGGACATAATATTTTTCAACGAAACGTCCAAGACCCTAGAACAAATCTGAATTATTTCGATAGACGTTGTCCAGCGCCACATGTTTTCCGCCCTTCATACGGCAGCGAGAGTCGCAACGCCCTTACCCAAATCAACCATACTCTGATCTAGCTTCCGAATACGATAATCCCAGTAGTTCTTCCGGATAGGATCAAACTCCTCTTTCAGCATCGTCCACATCCGAACAGCTTCACTCTCCCTCTCAGTCTCAGAAAAGACATCGGCCAACCACTCAACAGCATGCGAACTCTTAACGGCCCCCTCCGAAACAAACCCATCAACAAACTCCTCCCACTCCCCCAACCCACGCCCAGCAGCCCTCAGAACTCCACGCGCATACCACCACGGGCTCCGGTTCTCCGGCGCGCGCAGGATAGCCTCCTGCGCAAACTTCAGCTCGCCATCAACCATGTCCTCATCGACAACAGAAAGTCTGCCCTTCTCGGACGGCGCTGTGGAGAGATCACCTGCATTCACCATCCCCGCATCTGGGAGTGATGTGTCCCGCGGTCCGAAGCGGAGCATGTACCGGTGGTTCCAGGCGGAATTGTTGCGCACATCGGCTTTCAGGAGGAATTCCACGTCTTCGAGTTCGCGTGGCTGGTCCCATAGTCCGAAGTGCCGCACAAGCCAGTGACGGTAGGTCCATACGTGGTAATTTTTGGAGTCTTGGGCGAACATCTCCATTAGGAAGTCTGCTTCTTTGGGTGGGAAAGTTGGGAAGTGCGCTTTTGATGACAGCAGGACTTGGCGGTGGTGCCTGTTTGGGTGTTAGTTTTCTTTTTTTGATATTTTTGTCCTCTTGTCTCTTTTTCTTTCATGACGTTCTGGCATCGGTGGTTGCCGGGTGATAGTCGACATACCAAATTTGGTAGTTCTTGAGGTACTTCAATGAGACATCGTTCAACCAGCTCAATTCTTCATTCAGGTCTTTGTCCAAAGCGAACAGAATCTTTGCTCGGTAGATCCTGTATAGGATGTCAGATGTGCGATATGGCATGTCACGAGGGGGCTATTACTAGCCAACTTACCATACAGTGTAATGCGCTGGATTCATCGAGATCACATCTTTAGTCAAATTCAATGCCCGCTCAGACATCTCGTTCGTGGCCATCACGGCACGCAAATACGAAGTCGCCTCGAGGTAGTCGGCTGGGTAGGCGATGGTCGCCAGTGGCATAGCACCCGAGCTTGAGCCATCATCCAGGTCAATTGGAGTAACAGATGCCCATTCAGGGTCGGTGGAATATGTTCCCTCCATGGTTCTGCACAGATTGGAGTGAGAAGCTTAAGACCGGAAGGATAATTGCCGGGATGCAATCAAATGGTGGGGTACAGGGGTTAGATGCACAGGATGAGTCCGGGTTAGGTCTCACGACTAAGGCTTTGCACAAAGTGAGATTATGCAATCTCGATCAATCAAACCCCCGTTGAAATGAGAATTGTCTAAATAAAAGATCGAACGTGAAATGCAGCGAATATAAAACATGAAGTGGAGGTGGGGCGGGTGTGTCTGCCTCAGGCGCACACAAAGAAACCGAACAATACTAAGCCAACCCGCTTCTCTTCCTATTCTTCTTTTTGACTTGTAGTTAAAAATTGAAGAGATTTATTTGCAGTTCTATTGGTAATTCCATAATATTTTCTGCTCCTCGATCCACCATTTTCCCACTTTCTCCGCGTCGGCCAGCCACTTCCCAGCTTTGTCTCCATGCTCTTTTTGTACCCGGCCGATCAACTCCTCGAGAGACCACCCACGCAATGGACTCAACTCGTCCGGGTCGGTGTCTAGATTAGAGAACACGTACTCAAAGTCCCCGGTTAGTGGCAATATGAGTCGATACGGGACCGCTGCAGACCCAACGCTGAGCATTGTACCACCGGGGTTGATAATGCCAAAGTTCCATGCCTGTCGGCCATTGTGGGTAGCTTGGTACGGGCGCACTAGTGACTGTCCTTCATATTCATTCATCAGGTCTAGGGCCACATCGGAGTCCATCTTGTTCAAGGAGCCTGAATTCACGAGTAGGTCAAGGATGGTCGGGACGACAGACATCGAGGTTGCATTCGCTGTGATTTGCAGTGCTGGCAATAGCGGGTGTCGGAAAACGAGGGGAATGCGGAAATTGCTGATATGTCCGTTCTCGTATGTACCGGAGGCTGGCGCATCTTCAGCGAATGCCTGGCCACTATTTGAGATTAGTACATGGTCAATCGGTTGTTGTGCGTAGTTGCTGAAGTAAGTGCATCATACTGATCTCCTACAAGTACGACTAATGTCTCGTTTGCAATCTCAGCTTCGTTGAGGACCTTCATTATATCGCCAAGCCATGCGTCCACGTATCGGACCGTGTTCAGATATTTGTTGATGTCCCTGTGCGTCGCGAGGATATCGTCTCCACCAAAGTATTGTTCTTGTTGGTACGTCGTAGGCATGCCCCATGGGTGATGGGTTGTGCTCGTTAAATGTGACAGGAAAAGTCGCTCGTTCTTCTCGATTGTATTGTTCACCACGTCTCGTAGGTATGGGTATATCTCGTACTCCGGGTACCTGAGGTAACGTCCACGGGTGTTAGTAATGTGAGTGCCCATAGTCAAGGATAGTCTTCAATCGGGAGAAGGATATGCTTACCCAAAGTAATTGATCTCTATCATGTTCTTGTGATGATGTTTGGCACTATGCTTGGCAATGTCTTCGCGATAGATTGCTTCTTGAAACCCCATCTTCTTGTTGAGCTTATATTGCTCGTCAAACCGTCCTGTGATGGACTGCAAGAACACAGAGCTCCAGTTCCGATCATGAATGTGCTCAAGCCCATTGCCAGACTTATGACTCACTGTGTCCTGGGTCGACTTCTGCTTGAGTTGGTTGAATAATTCAAACATCTGCATGAGACACGGCTGATAATTTTGGGATTTGACCTCATCCACGGAGTTCACTGGCAGTGGGCCCGCACCACAGTAGTTCATAATTTCGCTTTTGAGTGATACACTGCTACCAGTGAGAATACCATTGAAATTGATGCCGCCCATTCCTGGTTCTGTCATACCATTCCATCCGTCACTAGAAGGGCTGTAAATTTGGTCATTTGTCGAAAATCCACTAGCCACCCCGGTCAACTTCTCTGCGTTTGGTGTCAAATGCGATAGTTTGGCGTCAATCTCTTGGAATACTGCGGGATCTTGGGTATCGTAGGATGATAGAATCTTCTTGTGCAAATTTGAGCCTGCCTTGAAGGGGAATATGTCCTTCCGAGCACTTTCCATCAACACAACTACGACATGTGTAATGGGGACTTTATGGTCCTTGAGAGCCTGAGCTACCGGCTCTAGCATTTCACGGTCGAGGTTGGTGATTCGAAGGGGGTCATCCACGGGGCTATAAGTGTTATTTTGAGTCCCATTTCCATCCGCAGTAACAATATCTCCTTCGTCGCTGTCAGACTCTCCTTCGCTCCACCTCGTGAACCCTGGTGGTAAATCCCCAGACGCCCATGCGGGTCGAATATTTTTGGCGTTGGAGTCTGCCTTACCCGGGGCCCAGCCCTTGAAGTGATCGCGTGGACCTTCCCAGTATGGCTCATCAGTTAGGTCCACGAGTGGAAATGGTTGATCTCCAGTCTGATGTAGCTCAGCAGGTCTCGAACCCAAGGCCAAGAAAAAGCTAAATGGGATAGTTTCAGACATATGATTATAAGGCACCTGGGGCCGAGTCAAGCGCAAGAGTCCAATGACCATCGTGGCGCATATTGTCAAAAGTTGAGTGAGTCGTGCTGCCCCGGGCTTTCTTTGGGGAGTGGCAATGATGCCTACTTCGTCTGCCTTTTTGGTTTGTGTGCTAAATAGCGCAGACACCCAACTGTCTATGAGAATGCATGTCCAATATTTGAGTAGCCATGAGGTCACAAGAAGGACGCCCGCAGCTCCCAGAAACGATGTCAGCCCGCTGAGCATCAGCTTTCTCCCTTCCGGTTCACTTCCCACGGTTGTGATTCCATCCCAGGGGATCTCACTACCAGTCACAAGATAGAAACATATCTGAGACGAGGACAAGATGAAGCTCAGAGATCTGTAACAGTTAAAAATCTCGGGTCTGACTCATTGACTCTAGTAATAAGTAATAGCAGATTTAAAGTACTTACGTGATGGCCACTGTCACTACAGTGCCTAAAAGGGACTTTACGCCCGTAAATTTGAAAAGCAGCCCCCACGCGGTTACGAATAGAAGAATCTCAACGATGAAGAATGTCGGAAAGTAGAGCGCAAATTGAATGCCGGGAAGAGAAGAGGCATGCTGGAGCAGATGAAGCACTTTGGATGATGTCACTGACACAACCAGTAGCGAGATAACGAAGGGCCTGGTAAAGGGCTGGCGTGGTATCATAATGAAAAAGAGTTGGAAAGAACAAAATGCATGTTGCCTCCGAGTCACCCATCTGGACAAAGAACTAGAATAGGGGTAATTCTTGCAAAGAATTACCTAGTTACGTATTTTGGGGTGTTGATCTTCCATTACAGTCATGTTTCATGAGTATTTACACCCCAGTACTTCCTAATGCTTTCCCTGTACTCTCTTATATCATAGCCCGCAAGCTGGAGTTTCTACCATAAATCTATGAGCGTGTATGTGAGCTTTCTAGTTACTGCTTATTACTTAAGGGGTTGAATGAAGTTTTAACAGGCAGAGTGGAAGGTGACCTGGAGCCTTTCGGAGTACTGGGGTGCAAATACTCATGAAATGCCACTGTATGTACCCATGCATACATGTCTTAAATTTTAGGAGCGCATTCCTAATTGGAGCCTCCTTGGCTATGTCTAGCACACAAAACTAGCACTTAAAGATTACGTGGCGGAATAAGCAATCCTTAATATTATGCAAGGATGCAGGGATTTTTCCAAGTTTACTCCATACATAGCACAAGATGACGCGTTGTCGTGTGGATTCCTGCCTGATTGGGAATGGCAGTGCTGAGATCTCAGGGGGCGGGCCGGGGAGGCTAATCAATTCCATATAAATTCCATATAAATTCCCTATAAATTCCCTACATATAAGATCTATCACCTAATAGTTCGACGTTTTTTTTGTCTGTTGAACTCTTCCCATATATCAATATTGTACACTAGTATTATGTGTGGGCTCGGGAATATATATATATATATATATATATATATATATATATGCTCGAGACTTCACCCAAATGTCTCACCGCCGTTGTTCAGGTATTCAATCTCCTCTGGGGTAGAAACTCTGCCCAGCGCCTGATTCCGATGCGGATATCGTCCAAATCGCTCAATGATCACTTTATGCCTCTTCTCAAAGTCAAGAGTATTTCTCAGGAATGCCTGAAGTGCATCCGCCTTCTTAGATAGCACGCCATGGCATTTGATTTCCTCTCCGGTGAGGGTCGATGTATCTTTAGCCAGTAGCTCATTGACATCTTTGGCTGTACCTTCGTGCACCTTGACGGCTTGCTCATGCACAGCCAATTTTTCCGAATGCATAAGGGGCATGTGGAACCAAGTACGGTAAGCCATGCGATACTTGAAATATGGTGACTGAGTCGGTATACCTTCTTCGATTGCCCGAAGGGCGATCTCCTCGGCCAATGGGTCAAAGCGCTCAAACACTAGCTTCGATTCGGCCCCCCGGTAACAATTGCGGGGAACCTGGTCAAGTAGAATTATGATGCTGAGCCAATCCCTTGGCGAGGACGGGCTAACCGCAGAGAGAATTTGCGTAGCTGAGACTCCCGAGCCAGCGATTATTTCTAAAGCAGAGCCAGCTTGGGTGCTGTTGGAGCTCGTTAGTCTTCTGTTATGACGTCGAAAATAAGGAGACGAATGGGCACTTACACGCAGGCCTCGTCGAATGCCTCGTCACGAGTGAACCACTTTCCCATCTCACTCCATTCGGGCAGGAGGAGTGCCTCTTCACAGCTCAAATGATCGAACCACAACTTGTGCACGTCATCAAGGAGGGTTGGTGTCAAAGTCTGCTTCAGTTCGGAGGAGCTTGCCGTTGTGATGGGATTTGAGTGAAATTTGCGAGCAATAGTACTTCTGCCAAAATTCTTCTGCAATTGAAGCCTTGCAGTGGGATTTGTACGGAGACTTGAGATTGGTATCAGGCCGTTAGTCGGGATCACCACCGGCTTGCAAGTCGCCAGTCTCGTCTGAACAAGTCCCTTTGAGATTGCCTAGTTATCTTAATGTTGGAATTACATAAATACTGATTTGGACATTTGCTTACCTTGCTGCGCGTTATATATCTCATGATCGAGCCCTGGCAAGGTGTAGTTATCAATTACTGGCAGAAATCAGGCGTATCACGTATGGTAAAAATGGCAGATATTGAAGACTCTGTTAACTCTGTTAACTCTAACTAAAATGACAAAACCCGCTTTTTCAACAATCTGAGCGGACATAGATGACTAACTGTATTATGCACTATGTATGTCGAGTACCACTTGTCACATGATTTTCGGGGTGAATTACTTTGTCTCATCCACGTAATTCATCTCTGTGTTCAGAATTACAAAGCACAAGCCCACTCGCTGGACGGACCCCAGGCCGCAGCTGAGTCATCATGCATGTTCCCCAGCATCTTGGAAGAAGCAGTGGAAGTTTGTTTTATTTTGATTTTACTACATGTATACCTTCTAGAATCTTGACATAGTCCTATAGTACATATGTATATACCCATTCAAAGACCAGTTCTCTTATATCGCCTGCCCAAAGAGGCAAAAGAATCCCGTTTATCTCGATAAGGCCGATTCCTCACTCCCCGCACGGTTTTCCCCTCAGCCTATACTCCGCATCTTGAAGATTATCGGGTCCTTTCAGCTTCATATTCTCTAGGCTTTATAATGCGCCGCGTTAAGAAATCTAGAAATGGCTGTGCAAGATGCAAAAGTAAACGAGTTCGTGTTTCCCGTTTCCCGCCCGGAAAATCGGATACTAACATGCACAGGTCAAATGCGGCGAAGAGAAACCTCACTGCACTCGCTGTACCCGCTTAGGCGTCCGGTGCCCTGGCTATGCACAATCCCTGCGCTGGGTTACCAAGTATGAGCAGTCTAGTCCCGCCGCGCCGGTATCGATCTCGGAGGTGAGAACCCCGAGTCCCGCGGCTTCTGCTTCGACTCCTAGCCAGCCGGCAAACCAAATCGACGATGCCCTGCCGGATGATTCACCTTTTGAGTCGACACATGAACTAGGTCCTTCGAATTTTGTTTTAGATGGACGAACTCCTCTATGTGACAATCTATGGGATCATCCGGGCCACGGGTCTTTACCCGAACTGACGGATCTATGCTCACCGTCCCCGATGGTGGCGGTATCGCCGTCTTTCACACACCAAAGAGACCCTTTCCATGACTTTGAACAGTCAGAATATGCCGGTGTAGATCTGTCACACTTTCTGTCACTTATCGGACCAGCGCCAATTGAGGAACAGGCTTCCAATGTTTACCGAGACTTCTCACCTTCGGCCATTGTGCGGAGTTATCCTCCTGCATCACATCGCCCTGTACCACAAGACTTCATGTCAATTTCCCGTTCACTGAATAATCCATCATGGACCTTGATCGAGTACTATTTCAAAGAGGTAGCAGCACTGTTCTCTAGCTACGATAGCCAGATGAACCCATTCCGAACCACGGTATCCCGTCTTTGGGGATCTTCACTAGCAATGTGTCGAACAATGCAAAGCATGGCTGCCGCAACGCTGGTCACTGAATTTCCCCAGTTCGGTCCCATGGGCCGAAGGATGCGTGATGAAGCTATTGGTATAATCACGCGCGAGGAAGTAATAGACGACAAGTCTTTGTTGGCGCTCCTCATGCTCGGACAGACAGCTAGCTGGCACGATCCAAATGACTTGGGTATATCGTTTTTTAACCTGCTCCGTAAGCAGCTTAACACCATCGCTTCATCATCCCACGGCCCTGGCTTCGGCTTCCCTAAGAACGACAGCAATAACTACCGGTTCTTCGAAGAAGCTCTCATCTACTGGGAGATGCTGCTTTCTTTCGTCACAGATAATGACACTATGGTCCTATCTGACAATTCACGAACCGCTTCATCCACAGACGAGTCCTTTGTTCTCCAACGAGTCCCGCACCCGTGGACCGGTATCGCGCGCGACACTCAGTTCACCGTGCACGAGGTTGGACAACTCATCCGCCGGGAGCGAAAACGCATTCACTCAAGGCGGTTCACCTCCCAAGATGATATCACCCGTGCGCAGTTAGCAATCGAGAAAGCTCGCGAACTAGAAGAACGCCTCTTGGGTCTCGCCCATCCCTCCGAGGCCGAGATCGTCAGTCCTGGTGACGACGATACCCCAGTATGGCACCTCCTCACAATGGCCGAAGCGTATCGATGCGTCGGCCTCATGCAGCTATACCGCGTCTTCCCAGACCTACTGTACAACCGCCTACCCGCTCCAGCATCCACATCACCCCAATACCCTAGCAACGCCGATCCAGCATCCCGCGACTCATTCTTCCCAATCGACCTCGACAGCATGAACCTGTCAGCTGGATTCGGCGACCCCAGTCCAACGACAGGACGAAACACCAATCCTCGACACAACGCCCCTTTGCCATCTAAAAGATCTTCCGCTCACAATCTCTACCGTCATTCCCCTCACCATCTACCATCCCCGCCATCACCAGACACGCAACAACCCCCCACCCCAGAAACCCTATACAGCAACTGGCTCACCGAGTTCGCTGTGACAACCCTTTCCCGACTAAGAACCATCCCCCTGGAATCACGCACCCGCTGCCTCCAGCCATTCCTCCTAGTTGCATCCTGCTCAGAGCTCCGTATCCCGCGTCTGGCCACAAACGCAGGTACTCAACCCCGGAATGGCGAGGATTATTCAGAGGGCGGAGATAACGATAATACCAACCCGAATCAAACACCTACCATCTCAATGGAGGCCATTGAAGTCTCGCGCACGCGCAAGTTCATCCTTGGCCGTCTAACGTCCTTTTTGCATGTTTTACCGCCGAAACCGATTCATGTATGCTTGAAATTAGTTAATGAGGTCTGGAGGAGGTTGGATGCCGGGGACCACGATGCTTATTGGGTTGATGTCATGATTGAGAAAGGTTGGGAGACAACCATGGGGTGAGAGAATGCCCAAGTCTGGCTTTGGGGCTCCCAGTTCAACACCATTGTATCCTTTTATCATATTCACGATCAGAGTAGCTGTTGGTTTCAGTTAAGACGGTACCAGGCTTTGCTGAATGATATGTTAAGACTTGTGAATTTATCATACCTCGAATTCGCAGTAGTCGTCATCTGTGTCAAGTGGGTGGCCAATTAGGGATTGGAGGTACAAGGGAAGACCGAGATATCTTTGTACGAAGTGTTATTAGATCGAAGGTGTATCTTGTAGAGAAAGAGACAAGAAGCAGCCTTATCAAAAATGATTCATAAAATTCATCAAAGCCCACAAAGCTCACAAAAGCACCAAACTAAAACAAGAACCTCCTAAATCCCAATATTTCTTCTGTTATTTTCATGTTTCCCAATTTTCATTTCCAGAACAAACCCCAATGTCAAGTACACAAATCCATAAACACATAAACGATCCAATTGAAACAAACTACTTGTTGTCACCGCCCCGGGTGTATCCATCCCACCACTTCGAGAACATACCGCCCTTAGCAGCCTGCTCATTCCAGCTCGCGCGGCGGGTAGCCATATCCGGGTTTGTAGATTCACGCTTCTGTGTGTGCAAGTTTGAGAAGAGACCGTTGGCAGAGCCGGCTGAGCTGCGGCGACGCTCACCCAGGGTTGGAGGATTGGGTGCGGTGCCTTCGGTTCCTTTGTTTGAGGAGGTGGAGGTGTTGGAGTCCTTCATTTTGGGTGTTAGATTGGTTTTGGGGGATTTGGTACAGATGATAGATAGATGATGATGATAGATGGATAGATGGATAGATGGAAGATAGATGGAAGATAGATGGAGGATAGATGGAGGATAGATGGGGGATGATGTTGTAGGGGATAATATATGAGGATGATATATAATAATCAGGTATCGAAAGAGGCAAATGACCTACCCTTCTATCAGTGATGGGCATTGCCCATGCAGCACGACCACTAGGGCTCTTGGCACCGCCGTTCATCCAGACATTCAGATGCTCGTAACGGTCGCCGGGGGTTCCGTGCCAGTGGCGACGGGTATTGTCGTCGGACATTTTGGAGATTTCTAGGAAGTTGAAGTAATCCGTGATGGAGGTGAGCTAGTTCTTTTGGGGATTTAATTTAGGAAGAGTGAAAGAGGAAGGGAATTTTAGAGAGAGGATATGATGATTATGAGATATGCTTGTAAGGGTTGGGAGTCGACGACGTCATGGTTCGGGTTGCCCTTTGTAGATATGGAATAGATGGGAAATGGAAAACATACCTTGATATTCTCCAATATTTGGATTAATAGAAGTGAGAATAATCCAGAGACCGGTAAAGAGGGGGAAAGCTGGCTTATAAGACTATATAGCTTACTACGTTACAACGTTCACCAAAGGTCTAGTTATAACCAACAATATCAAGTACTTCCCTAGTACTTACATATATACTTATTATACTTGTCCAAACATGTACTTTGAATGTACTATGATGTACCCAGCCTTGACGTAATTAGGATGCGGGGAAAGCTTGGCATATAATTTGAGGTTGAAGCTACATATAGCAGTAGAAGGATAAATACACCTACAATAGTAGATAAACCTCACCTCCCAGCTTCCCTCAACACCCTCCAAACTCTAACCCCCTCCTCCCAATTCCCATCCTCCACGATCTCAACACTCCCATCCGCCCTCAACGTCCTAACCAACCTAGCCCCAGAAGTTCCCCATCCAAACTCCCGTTCCCCACGAACAAACATCCCTAGCGGATCAATAAATCCCTCCTTCACAACCCTCTTCTCCTCCTCCTCCAACATCTCCCCATTCCCAAAGAACCAAACCGGATAATCAGACGAATGCGTAACCCCCCACTCAACCGGCAAAGTCGCCATCACACACTTCGCCCGCCACTCAATCCGATACCGAAACAGCAACGCCGAAGCATCCACTCCGTCCTCATTCTCCGTCAATGCATACGCAAGCCCACGCTGCATCTGATGAACCTGCATATCAGCGTAGATCCTCCCCCACGCATCCTGGTCCCAGTTCTCGCAGTGCGCCGGTAGACGGCCGTCCGGGTAATATAGCGGTATGACAGCGTCCACGATGTGTTCTGGGTAATCTGCGACGAGACGGGTGCGCAGCGCGGAGAGGGTATTGTCTGTGGGCGGGAACCATACGCTGTAGAGGAAGCGCTCGTCGCAGCATTCGCCTATTATGATGCGGATGTTGCGGGATAGGAGGCTGCGGGCGAAGGCACCGCTGTCGAGTGTTGTGAACAGAGATGGGGAGATGAAGGATGTGTCTGTGGTTGGGCGGAATTGGTGGAGGGGGATTGTTTTTGCTTTGTCGAGGAGTGTTTTTGCGGGGATTGAGCGTAGCCGGGTGAGTTTCTCGCTATGGGACAGGGTGAGGGGGATGTCCAGGGCGGTTAGAAGTTGGTTGAATTGGGTTTGTGTTTCGGTTGCCTGCTTGGGCTGAACGGCTGGGCTGTTTGACCAGATGCAGGCTTGACGAATGAGGGAGTTCTCGTCTGGTTGGCGGAGGTCGTAGGCTAGCTGATGGAAGACGGAGTTGGCACCTGCGGAATATCCCGAGATCGTAATGGTCTCCGGATTGCCACCGAATAGCTGGATGTTCTCCTTCGTCCACTCCAGTGCTAGTCTCTGGTCCCAGAATCCATGATTCCCAACTGTTTCTCCGGCAGTGGCTGCGTCCTCCTCCAGTTCTGCCGAGTAGAGGAATCCAAAAAGGTTGACTCGGTACGCGGGCATCACAACCACGCAGTTGAAATCAGCCTCGCCGATCAATGTAGCCGCATTAAATGAATTGGGTGTGCCGAATTGAAGCCACCCACCATCTGCGCCGAACAATTTCTGTCAGCACGATCCATATGGAACTATCTCGCTTCATCCCAGATCCGAGCCCCATATCTCCTAGTTTCAGTCAGACAATACTCACGAATATAAACAAAAACAGGCCACCCCCCCTCGGGCACATCCCCAATAGGCGTCCAAACATTACACTGAAAGCAATCCTCGTTCCACGCATCCGGGCTCTCGGGCGTAAGTCGAAATCCTGGTTGGGGACAAAGCCCCGCACCCTCATCACAGCGGCCCGGTGCCTCTTCGCTACCGTAGGTAAATGATGCGGGTAAGGGATGGGCGCGGCGCCAGCGCTCGGCGGGGGCAAGGCCGTAGCGGACGCCGCCGAAGTAGTGGCAGAGGTCTTTGGCTTGGCTGGTGGGAGAAGACGATGTTGAGATTGTTACGCCTTGGATTGTGCCGCGGTGGGCGAGGGATTTAAGGTGAGTGCGGCGGTTTATTTCCATCTTGTTTGGTTCCTGTTCTGTTGATGACTGATTTGGGGTAGTGCAGTATAGATCCCAGTTGTCACAGACGTATATACACGTCTCTATTCTGAAGTCGTCTTTGACTATGCTGTAGTGAAGTAGAGCAGTCGAGACGGGGAACCACGCCCTTTAAGATAGTATCGGCCTTCATTCCGCAGTTTCTAGACACTTAGCCGAGATAACGAGGCGATTGGGCTTCATTGGTGAGAGACAAGGAAATCGGCAATTCGCCATTCACCATTGGCCATCGGCAGTTGGAGAAGGAGAGATTGCTTCTGTGGAGAACGGCACAAGTCCGCTCGGAGCTAGATCTGGCCCCGAATTACTGGCTGCAACTATAGAGAGGAACGCTAGAAATGTTTAGACTCCAAAATAATCATAACAGGATACCATTTGATTCCGAATAAGCTAGAACAGCAAATTGCCAAATCCAGAGATAAAACTCGATAAACATAAAACTAAAAACGCTGAGAAATCATTCAAATGACATCACGCATCACAAATCGTGCATGGTTCAGTAGTACAGAGTAGCTATGCTTTTACGCCTTGCTGATCCTGCAGATCAGGTCCTGGCCATCGACGGAGTCGCCCTCCTTAACCTGGAGGCCAGACACCTTTCCGCTGTGCGGGGCGGAGATCACCATTTCCTAGATAAGAGTTAGCAAGGTATTCATATATGCAATAGAGGACAAAAAGTAATAACATACCATCTTCATGGCGCTCAGCACCGCAATAGGATCACCCTTCAAGACCTCGTGGCCATCGTGGATGCGGATCTCAACCACAACACCGCTCATGGGAGCACCGACCTGGCTGCTGTCGGTGGGCTCGGCCTTGGGGCGGGCGAGGTTCTCGATAGAGGCCTTCTGGTCATCGACACTGACCTGGCGAACTTCACCGTTGACCTCGTAGAAGACCTCACGCTGACCGGTCTGCTCGGAAAGAGGACCGATGGCGAGCAACTTCAGGATCAGGACCTTACCCTTCTCCAGCTCGACGTGGAACTCCTCGCCGATCTCGGGCCGGGCAAGGAAGTAGCGTGTCGGCAGAACAGACAGATCACCGAACTTGGCCACGAACTTGCGGTAGTCCTCGAACACCTTGGGGTACATGGCGTAACTGGCAACGTCGCACTCGGTAGCGGCGCCGAACTTCTCGCGGATGTCGTTCTTGATCTTGATGAGATCCATAGGCTCCAGGTACAGACCGGGGCGCTTGTCGAGCTTGCGACGGCCGCGCAGGGCCTTGGTACGCAAAGGCTCGGGGAAGCCGCCGTAGGGCTGGCCCATCAGACCCTCGAAGAACTCCAAGACTGATCCGGGGAAGTCGAGCTGATCGGCGCGGTCCAGGACGTCCTGGGCGGACAGCTTGTTGCTGACGATCCAGGAGGCGAAGTCACCACAGACCTTGGAGGAGGGGGTGACCTTGACGATGTCGCCCAGCAACTCGTTGGCCACCTCATACGCCTTCTTGGTCTCAGCCCACTGCTTTCCGAGACCCAGCTGGCTGGCCTGGAAGATCAGGTTGGTCAGCTGGCCACCGGGGATCTCGTGCTCGTAGACCTCGGGGTCGGGGCCAGTCAGACCAGCCTCGAAGGGAGAGTAGAGCAGACGAAGCTGAGCCCAGTAGCTGTCGATAGCGCGGATGTGAGACAGATCCAGCTTGGGGTCGTTCTCGGTACCCTGCAGGGAAGCAAGGAGAGCACCAATGCTGGGCTGCGAGGTCATACCAGACAGACTGTCGGTAGCGGCATCCACGGCATCAGCACCGGCCTCGGCACAGGCAATCATAGAGGCGACACCGGTTCCGGCGGAGTCGTGAGTGTGAACGTGGATGGGAAGATCGGGGTAGCGCTCGCGAATGGCACCGACCAGCAAACGGGCAGCCTGGGGCTTGAGCACACCAGCCATATCCTTGATTCCAAGAACGTGGGGACGCATCTTGACAATCTTGTCCACCAGACCCAGGTAGTACTCCAAGCTGTACTTCTTCTTGGGGTTCAGCATGTCACCACTGTAGCACATGGTGGCCTCGACGACACCACCGGCTTCGTGGACGGCCTTGACACCGACCTCGAGCTGGTCAAGATCGTTCAGGGCATCGAAGACACGGAAGATATCGACACCGTACTTCTTGGCCTGCTTACAGAAGTGGTAGATGGCGTTATCGGGAAGGGAAGAGTAGGCAACGCCGTTGGCGCCACGCAGCAGCATCTGGAAGGGAATGTTGGGGACGGCCTTGCGCATCTTGCGCAGTCTGTCCCAAGGATCCTCGTAGAGGAAGCGCATAGCCACGTCGAAGGTGGCTCCACCCCAGCACTCGAGGGAGTAAGCGTTGCTCAATGCGTGGCTGGTCTCAGTGGCGATGTTGAGCATATCAATTGTTCGCACACGGGTGGCTAGCAACGACTGGTGGGCATCACGCCAGGTGGTGTCCATGATCAAGCAGCCCTTGTTGGCGCGCACAGCGCGAGCGAAGCCCTCGGGGCCTTCGCGGTCCAGGATCTGCTTCCAGCCCTTGGTGCAAGGCACTGAGAGGTCAATGGGCTTGCCCGCAGCATCATTGAGAACTGGCCGGATGATATCACCCTTGAACTTGGGCTCACCGATCTGGCCCTTGATGCTGCTACCGTTGACAGCAACGTCACCCAGGTAAGCGAGCAGCTTCTGGGCACGGTTCTGGCTGCCAACGAGGGCAAAGAGCTCGGGGGTGTCATCAATGAATGTAGTCCAGCAAGTACCATCGATGAATACGGGGTGGCTCAGGAGCGAAGCAAGGAAAGGAATGTTGGTCTTGACACCGCGGATACGGAACTCAACCAGAGCACGAAGCATCTTGCGGCGGACGATCTCGTAGGTCGAGCCACGGCAAGTGCACTTGACCAGCATAGAGTCGTAGTGAGGAGAGATAATGGCACCAGCAAAGCCGTTACCACCGTCCAGACGGATTCCATTGCCACCAGCAGAGCGGTAGACCTCGATCTTACCAGTATCGGGGGAGAAGCCCTTGGCGGGGTCCTCGGTAGTGATACGGCACTGGATGGCGAAACCGCGAGTAGAGATGCGGTCCTGGGTAAGGCCAAGTTGTTCAAGGGTTGCACCAGCAGCGATCTGGATCTGAGCGGCCACGATATCGATACCGGTGATTTCCTCGGTGATAGTGTGCTCGACTTGAATTCTGGGGTTGATCTCGATGAAGTAGTGCTCATTTCCGCAGACAAGGAACTCAGCGGTACCAGCGTTGCGGTACCGAACTGACTTGGCCAACTTCACGGCATCAGACAAGATCTTATCACGAACATCGGCGGGAAGGTCCTTGGCAGGAGCAATCTCAACGACCTTCTGGTGGCGACGCTGAACGGAGCAATCACGCTCGAAGAGGTGGACAACGTTGCCCTGGTTATCACCGAGAAGCTGAACCTCGATGTGCTTGGGCTGGTCAAGGAAACGCTCGACGAAGACGGTACCGTTACCGAAGGCGGTGCGAGCCTCGGAAGTAGCACGCTCGAAAGAGTCACGCAGCTCGGACTGAGAACGGACAACACGCATACCACGGCCACCACCACCAAAGGCAGCCTTAATAATGATGGGGAAACCATATTCATCAGTGAAGGACTTGACCTCTTCAAAACGCTCGACGGGGCCCGGAGTTCCGGGGACAACGGGAACGTTGCACTTGATAGCAGCGCGGCGAGCGGAAACCTTGTCACCAAGGGCATCGATGGTCTCAGCGGTAGGGCCCACGAACACAATGCCAGCCTTCTCGACGTTCCGGGCGAACTCGGCGTTCTCTGACAGGAAACCGTAGCCGGGGTGGATCAGGTGGACACCGTGCTCCAGGGCGATCTTGATGATCTCATCACCGGCCAGATAAGCACCCACGGGGGTATATTGGCCCCGGTGACCGATCATGTAGGCCTCATCAGCCTTTTGACGATGCATTGAGAGACGATCTTCGTGTGAGAAGACTGCAACCGTCTGGAGGGACAGTTCGTGTGCGGTACGGAAGATACGGATGGGGATTTCACCACGGTTGGCGACTAGAATCTTTTGGAAGTGCATGATGGTCGAGTTGGCCCGCAGACGGCGGTGGACTGAGTCCTGGTGGTGCTCATTGTGATCCTCGATGAAGTCAGACTCATCAATGGCCTGCTCCGGCTGGCGGTGCTGAACAGCAGCCATGGTGTAGATGTGTGAGATGGAGAAGGTTAACGGAATTATTTACTAGTGAGGATTTGATTAGTTGAAATTCCGTTGAAGTTCCCGAGGTCCAGCTCTAGAAAGCAGAGGCGGTGACTCACTATAACCTAAGCTGGGGAGCTCTCTCCAAATTCAGGCCGGTTTCGGCGGATCACTGCGCAATCACTTGCACTGTCCTTCGGTATAAGCAACAGAAGGTATATAATAGAGATTGAATTGAATAGAATTGAATTGTTAAGGGATGATATAGAAAGAAAAGGAAGAAAAAAAAAGTAGATTTTTGAAGGGGGAGGGGTTAGATAAAGAGGGGAATCACAAGCGTGATCTGCAATGTCACAGATACTTTCCGGGGCGAGAGAACTGACTCCAGGAATGAGGTAACAGGTACTTACAGGTTCACCGGTACACCGGAGCTGCCCAGAAATTGGCAATGATCAAATCGAATAGAATAATAATAGAATAATAGATTTCGATTCTTCCATTTATTATTGGATTTATCCGAAATGGTTTGTTGCGGGGCTTTTACCCTCATGCCATCATCCCCCATACTAACCCTTGCTACTATATCCGTATTATTCCCACTACCCCGGACGAGAACGTCTCGCACGATAACTCCCCTATGAACTCGCACGAGAACATTCGGGTATTTTAGGCAATCGATTCCGCTGATCTACCTCGGGCCATCGGGACAATCGTCCAGCATATAGTCTTTAATTCGTAACGGATATTCACGGGAAGCTGGGAGGGAAAAGTCCGGGGGAGACTCGGAGAACTCTCGAC